AAAAATTAAGTTGTTATGGATTTGAAAAGTGTGCAATCCAATGGATCCATAGTTATCTCACTAATAGAAAGTTTAATGTATTGTTTAATGGTAGTTATTCTGATACAAAGGTTTTGCGTTGTGGAGTGCCTCAAGGGAGTTGCCACTGTTATTTTCTGTTTTTATTAATGATCTGTCTTTTATTTTGAGGTGTGCCACTATTGCCCTATATGCAGATGACTTGACTATTTTTGTGTCTGATTATGACTCTACCAGACTTAATACTATTTTAAATAATGAATTACAATTAATTGAAAATTGGAACAGAGTAAATAAGTTAAAGATTAATGTTGGGAAGAGTAAATGCATGATGTTGGGATCTAATCATCTTTTAAAAGATTCCCCCGCTTTGAATTTGTCAGTTGGTGGTTTGAGAATTGAACAAGTGGCGGAGGCCAAATTGCTCGGTGTGATTGTGGACAGCAGGTTGACCTGGAACGCTCAGGTAAAATTAATATTGAATAAAATGGGCAGGAGTATGGCTGCAGTTCGTCATTGCAGAAAATGCATACCGTTTCGTATACGGAAAACTCTGGTGGAATCAATAGTTTTATGTCATCTGGACTATTGTTCCATCATCTGGGCCTCAACTACAGAGAATAATTTAAACAGATTACAGATTGCACAAAATAAAGCATCTCGGCTTGTTCTAAACTGTTCTTTTAGAACAAGTATCAGGGACATGCACAATCAGTTAGCATGGCTTCATGTAAGAAGCAGAATTAATTATTCTCTTATAAAATTCTTAAAAAATATAATTATTACAAAAGCACCTGAAATTATTTATAGAAGATTGACTTTCTTCAGTGATATTCATACCTATTCCACTCGTCAATCAAGTGAAGGGCGTTTCTTGTTACCTGCCTGTCGAACAAATCAGCTTCAAAGAACATTGTGTTATAGAGCAATGGTGGCATGGAACTCACTCCCGTTATTTTTGGTCTCAGAGAGTCACAATGTTAGTTTTTCCAAAAGATTGAGACTGTATTTATTTACTTTGGAGTAACTGTAATTATGTAATTAATAATGACTGTATAATGAGCTATGGTTATTGAACTGTGATTTTTCATATTTTTGTGTTTTACCCGGACAGTGGTAATATTTAGTATATAGAAGAGCTTATATTGTTATATTATGTTATGTTTAGTGTATAGGTGTTGTGCTGTGTTGTGTGTGGGTGAATTAGATATCTTAGATGATGTTGTGTGCACTTCTGTATTTGTCTTCATTGTTGTACAGCCTTGATGTTAATATTTTGTTAAAAATTGTTAAGACCCCAGGAAGAATAGCTGCTGCTTAATGGAGTAGCTAATGGGGATCTAAATAATAAATAAACAAAAAATTTGAGAGTGTCAGTATCAAGCCTGCAACCCTGCTTTAAAAAATGGTGCAATGCAAAACAGGCTCATTGCAGTCACTAATGCAGGGATAAATAGACCTGTCTTGCCAAATGGATTTCTCTTCTTTTCTTTTTTTAACAGATTGCAAAGTGGAACTTTTATTTCTTTTCTATTTTTGAGGCACTTTTATTTTCTCTATTTTTGAATTTCATGCAAGTTTTGACACAGATGCACTTCATTTTCTTTATTTTTGAACTTGCTGTTATTTGATGTAGATAGTTAGTTTGTATTTAGATACAACTTGTTACTATACTGATACTACTTGTTACTTCAATAAATTGGAACATTTTAAGCTTGTTACGTATTTCATTAGCATTGTGTCGGGGCGATGGGGGCAGTTGGGGCTTGAAAATTCCCCCTTGTCCAAAGTAGGGATGCAACGATTACAGATTTTGTAAGTACGATTATTGTCTGAGAAATAATCACGATTTAACGATTATCACGATTATTATGCATCACTTAATTTCACAACACTACTAATGTATAATATCACATGAACACTCAACACTAGATTTTAATGTGTGATTTATTGCTGCCACAACACAGTACACAATTAGAAAATGACAAACAATAATCAATCTCTTCCTTTGGAATTAGAGAGAAGTGCTTTGTAAACATCCAGCATTTTTCTTTTAAAAATAACAAATTAAGTCAAAGGCTGCAGGGCACTTTGATTGAAATAGATCACAAAATTATTAAGTGTTTAGTTTGTTCTAAATTTATTTTCAAACCGAGGTAGAAAACTTGAAAACATGAAAACAATATCTTGTTGGTATTTGACATAAAAACATAAATAATACTATAAAGGGATAATAAATCCCAATGAAAATAAGAATAAACAAAATATTTGGCTCTATTGAATTAAATGCAAGCTAAATATTAGGCCTATGTATTTCTTTTAAAAGAAAACAAATATAGTCCAAATGTTATCCACCAATATTATTGTACTTATTTTAATACTCTTTTTTAATTATTAAACCAAATTTTACATGTGCCTTTAGGAAATCATCTATTATAATCTCATTATTTTGGTTTGTTTGTTTGAAGTTTGAGTACAAATTATAGAAAGAAACTGAGAACATCTCTCATGCAGTGTTATTAATTAACTGAAATGCAGTTAATTGGTAGTCCTAGAAGTCTACACGGCCCTGATCTTATGTTAGTGTTTTACACCGGGCATATTACAACTACAAAGCCTGACATTTACTCAACACAGACAGGAGAAAGCAATAGGATATTAAGTTAAATGTTCACTGACTGAAACTCTTGAGAGCACGTCACATTCTGTTTTCCACAGACTTGCGTAACCAAAACATTCCGCTGTTTTTTTTTTTTTTTTTTTTTTTTTACGTTGCACTGGAAGCTGAAAGTTGCACGCCGCGTTCTCCTTTTTCCAAAGCGCTAGGGCGGTTGCGCTCCGGAGGCGTCTGTCGTTGCTCTGTTGATTCTTGTCACTTGACCCACGGTGCGCTTGCGGCATTATGAAAAGTTGAGATGTTTTTATCTCGATGCAGCGCGGACGCGCTTGGAAAAAACGAGCGCGTCGCTTCCATTATGAGCGCGGACACCGCGCGCCTACATTTGAAATGAACTTGAGCGCGCAAAAGACGCGATCTGTGAACAGGCCCTTAAGGCGTTTTTTCGGTGGAAATAGAGCGTCGCTGCTTAGTCCCTCTGCCATAGTGGTTGACGAGCACGGCACTTTAAGCTGGTGCACCGCTGGTGTAACTTTGTTTTCGTTTTGTGTTA